TTGAGCATATTCAAAAGATGATGAGTACGCTTACTACCATGTCTGTGACGCTGGCTACTCTAACTCTATTAGAACAAAAGAAGTGCAGCTTGCGATTTGTAAAGTAAGACTTGATTTCACATTTATGGCAGTTTCTCTTGACCTGTGTTAACATGATCGTGTGGCTTTGCTATGCGAACATGGAAGGGACGTTTTGATTTCCAGTCTACGAGAAAAGTTTGACTGTAGAATAATGTGTGTTAAGAATGTAGATTGAAACATTCAGCCATCTTAATATATGTATCTCAATCTATACTTCCTTTCGTTCAGTTATCATGAGTGAATTCATAGATGTTCTCTTTTCTAGTATATTCAATTATTTTCGTTCTATTTCTCTATCTTTCTTCGTTGACTTTGTATGATCTTTAGAACTTCTAAGCGAGCTCTTGATTGTCTACTGCCTTCCAACAAACTCCTGCAGTTTGACAACCTCCTTCTCCTCCGTACATATATATATACCTGTTGCATGGACAATAAAGTCGGTTGTACATAAGCAATAAGGTAAAAATTCTCACTGACTTACAACTGGTTTAGTGATCGACAAACTTATTTATCATCGAGATATGACCGTCCGCTAGTCCAAAAACTCTTTCTTAGTAATCTATGTATCGATGTTACTTCGGACTAGGGCGTGAGTGTTATTTCGAAATGGCAAAAACCCACACTCTAAGATAATAATTTGTATAATTAAACTTAATGCTTCTTAATAAGAATTAAGTCCTATTTCAAGCTAGCAAAAGGCCTGGAAATGGCAAAAATCATTGAAGTTGGCTCAGATCTTAGAGTTTTAAATTTGATCTCAAATAATCCTGCCTATTCTAGAATTCTCTCATGCCATACTAATGCCTACAGTAGTCCACGCTTATAATAGCACACACACATAATATCTGCCTATGACTACATCAGTTCAATCATAATCAACCAAGTTATCATATCCAATAAATAATATGTTAGAAATAGGATTGAATCACATATGAATACTTCAACCTTTTCCCAATTCATTTTCATGTGCTTTTAAACGAATGTAAGCTTGAAATGAAAACAAAAGTAACTTTTTCTATTGTCGAATTAAATCTTACAAACGTATAAAATAATCAATAAATAACTAAAAGCTATTGTATGTGCATATATGAAAATTGAAGTGTATAATAATAGACTAGTGTAGAGCAAACATCGATGCATACTTGATATTTTACATAATCTAGTATATCAACATGTAATGTCTATACTTTCACAGCTGATCGACTATTTAATTTGTTTCATTTAAAATAGAATTCTTTCTAATATCTGTTTCAAAATTTTCTCCATACTATTTGATTTATAAAAGATTACTTTATTGCAAAACAAACTAGGATGAGAATTGTCAAAGCAATCCTACCTGTTATATTTGGTGGCTTTTTATTTGAAACAGTATGAATAGGTTTCACTGCTGTTTCTATCGGCGGTGTCGCTGGAGCAGGTTTAGTTGGCTTAGGTACAACTGATGATGATTTTGGTTGATTTGACTTAGGAAATGGTGGTTTAACGAGTATCATCGGCGGTGGAATTTGTTTCAATTCAATAATGTGAAGGTCAGGTGCCGGATTTAATTGACCAATGACTTCAAAATATGAGCCTGGCATAAGAATAATTTCGCTTTCTTGTTTTTTGAAGTACGAGTGAGCGACGACAGATTTTCCATCGATACATTCAATGGAAAAGAGAGTCCGTATTCCATGTTTACCCAAAAATTTTGGGGATTCAAGTAGTTTCATATCAGCCGTACAAGAGCTAACTCCCCACCAAGCAAATTTCGTACCAGTTTTGTATTTTGAACTTAAATCAACGCCACGAATACCACGCCATACACGCTTGCTTTGTGATGGTAGTCTATGTAGAGCCGTCAAAAATAATTTAAGGTATGAAAACCATGGTTTCAAACTTTCACGACTTTCAGCACGTAACGATTCATTCAGTAAAAGATATAAACTCGGTCCGTCATCGAATTCCATAGTGTACAAATGTATTGATGCCGATTCTTGTTGAGTTAATTCATCGGCTGGATTTTGACAATTATGTAACGCCACCAAAACATTATCTTCGATTTCATTAAAGAATCCTGCAACGGGTTCGATGGCTTCTGTAAGTGAAACAAGTGGTTTATCTTGATAACCTTTGATAGGACATAATAAGTGATCGATTGGTTCATCGTAAAGATCAGTGAAACGAGATCTATTACCCGATTGTATTGATTCGGCCATGTAATGCGCTTTGTTTTGCAACACCAAAAGCACGACTGTCACAAATCTAGAAACAAAGAAGAAATAGTCGAATCACTGTTTCATTTTTTTTCGCCATAGAATGGATAGACGAAAAAAAAGTTAGAATAATTCGACCGAATCACATGAAAAACAGGATCGACATATATGACAGATTGTCTACACTACACTACACTACACAAAATATTAGTAATTCAATTCGGAGACAAATAATAGATCAAAGATTTTACCATATCTGTATAAGCCATGTCATTTTTACAGAAAAAAACGCTGCTAGTGTAATCCCTACCGAGATTAAAATGTGAAACACGATAAAAACATTATTATCTCCCTGAAAACTGCCCTGTCTTTTCATTTATCTACGAAAACATGTCTTCATTATTGCTTACTCTATAGCATGTAAATTCGAAAAGCAAGCACTACATAATCGTTTGAATAACGTGTCATTTATGCAAGATGTTCGATAATCACTTGAAGTCATCAGTCAAAGTCACTGCTTCTTCTTACAGGGTGTTTGTCATAGTGTCCAATGGATGCCGGGCCTCTCTGTCACGATCTGTGGGGGAGCAAATTTCTACCTTATATACTTCAACACTCCTTTCAGATCATGTTTCACAAAATGAATCACACATAAGAGCGACAGTCTACGAAAGAACATCATATATTTTCGACATTGAAAATCGTCTGGATTATGGAATGACCCGCAACACTAAACATGAAGATATCTTCTAAAACCTATGGAAAACTATATTATGAGAGAATCTTCCGAGGTGACCCCCGCGGATTTCGATGAATTTTTGGCCATAGATACTACACAAGGGTGTTGGTGCGGGGTGTGGGTGGGTGTGGGTGTGAGTGTGGGATGTGCGTGCGTGTGCGTTTGGGTGTAGGTGTGGGTGGGTGGGTGTGGCTAGGGGATGGGTGTGAGTGGGTGTGTGGATGTGGGTCTGAGTCTGGGCGTGAGTTTGCGTCTTCTTTTCACAATACACTCACACCTACCCCACCCACACCCACACCCTGGGGAGTGGCCAGAAACATGCTGTTTTCTCAGGTTATCCGGTACCGGATCGGATTGATTGCAATCGAATTCGGAGGCATGATTGATTGAATTGGGTAGAGGTGTAAATGTGGTGTACGTGTTGGTCTCCATGATTGAATGTAAGTTTGAATTTTCTTTTCAAATTCCCACACCC